AAGATAAAAAAACAAAGAAAGAACAAAGAAAGAAAAAGGAAGAAGGGTAAAATACGACTAAAAAAGAAATTGAGAGAGATTAAAAAACAGTAAGAGATTGAGAGAGATTAAGAGACAGTGAGAGAGAGATTGAGAAAATTAAGAGATAGAGAAAGATTAAAAGAAATTAAGAGACAAGAAGAGAGATTGAGAAAGATTAAAAGATAGAGAAAGAGAGATTGAGTAGTAGTTTGTAAATAAATATATTACTAATATAAGCAACAAGCTGTTTCTTTATAAAAGTAGTGCATATTTATAAAAAATTTATTTTTTATATTATACTCTACTAGGATATATTTTATTTGCTACTTGAGTATAAAGTTAAATGTAATTTGATTTTTTATTGTAAAAACTGATTATGATATATTTTAACTTGATTACAAAGTTGAATATAAATTAATTTTTTTATTGTAAAGCTGATTATGACACATTTTAATTTGATATTTGATTATAAAGTCAAATATAGTTTAATTTTTATTGTAAAGCTAATTATAATATGCTTTAATTTGCTATTTGATAATAAAATTGAATGTGGTTTAATTTTTATTGTAAAGATGATTATGATATACTTTAATTTAATATTTTATTATAAAGTTGAATGTAGTTTAATTTTTATTATAAAGCTGATTATAATATATTTAATTTGCTACTTGATTATAAAATTAAATATAGTTTGATTTTTTTATTATAAAGCTAATTATATGTGCTTTAATTTGATATTTGATTGTAAAGTCAAATATGGTTTGATTTTTTATTATAAAATACTTTAATTTAATACTTGATTATAAAGTTAAATATAGTTTAATTTTTTTTAGTAAAGCTGATTATAATATACTTTAATTTAATACTTGATTATAAATCAAATATAGTTTGATTTTTTTAGTAAACTAATTATAATATGCTTTAATTTAATATTATTATAAAGTAGAATATAGCATGAATTTTATTATGAAGCTACTTATGTAGTTGAATATAGTTTAAATTTTCTAGTAAAGCTGATTATAATATACTTTACTTTGGCAGAAATTTTATAATAAAGCTAATTAAGTAGTCAAATATGGTTTGATTTTTTCTAGTAAAGCTATTTATAATATACTTTACTTTGGCATAAATTTTAGAATAAAGCTGATTATTTAGTCAAATATAGTTTAATTTTTTATATAAAGATGATTATAATATGCTTTAATTGATACTATTATAAATTAGAATATAGCATAAATTTTATAATTAAACTAATTATCTAGTCGAATATAGTTTAATTTTTTATATAAAGATGTTTATGACATGCTTTACTTTGGTATGATTTTATTATGAAGCTAATTATATAGTCAAATATAGTTTGATTTTTTCTAGTAAAGCTAACTATAACGTATTTTGATTTGATACTATTATAAAGTAAAATATGGTATGAATTTTATTATGAAACTAATTATATCTAATTCAATTTTTTATGTAAAGATGATTATGATATACTTTTATTGATACTATTATAAAGTAAAATACAGCATAAATTTTATAATAAAGCTAATTATATAGCAAATATGATTTGATTTTTAATTTTAGATAGAATTCGACTAGAGAATTTTTTAAAATTCAATTCAATTCAATTTTTAAATTTTGACTAAATTTAGATTAATTTATTTTAGAAATTAGCAAAATCAAAGTTAGTTAAAATTTAGTGATCAAATTTTTGACTAATATTAAATCGAATTATTCTAGAAATCGGTAAGGTTGAATTTTATTAAAATTCAGTTGCCAAATTTTTGACTAAATTTAGATTAATTTTTTGATAAGATCAGAAGACCAATGTTGATTAAAATTTGGCTATCAAATTTTTGATTAAATTTAGATCAAGTTATTCTAAAAATCAGTAAAATTGAATTTTATTAAAATTTAATTGTAAAATTTTTGACTAAATTTAAATAAATTTATTAAAGAGATTGGTATGCAAATTTTAGTAAAATTCAGCTATCAAATTTTTGACTAATTTTAAGCCGAATTATTCTAGAAATCACCAAGATCAAATTTTATTAAAATTTAGTTGTTGAATTTTTAACTAAACTTAGATCGATTTATTGAAAAGATTGGTTTGATCGAATTTTAGTAAAATTCTGCTATTGAATTTTTGACTAAATTAGATTAAATATTAAAAAAAATTGGTATGATCAAATTTTAATAAAATTCAGCTTCTAAGTTTTTGACTAAATTTAGTCAAATTTATATAAAAGCTCCAAAATTTTAAAAAAATCAACCAATTTATTACCGAATAGTAATGTAATTTGATCAGGTTGAATTTCTAGTTTTTGACTAATAAACTTCAAATGGGATATTAGTAACAATCCAAGCTTTTAAAAGCAACATATCATAATTGTTACTAACTTGTACAGGTAAAATTAATTTTAAATATGAATTTCTTGAATATATACTATTATTTTCTACAAGTTTATTGCACCAATACTTTTGAATATTCTCAAATATATTGGAGCAATCATTTGCAAGATGAGCTTTCAAACTACATAATTTACCTCTTGGCCAAGACTTGTTACAATAAAAGCATGTAGCTTTATAATGTTCAGGATTTACTTGTTCACCTTTTATGAAATAACTCTATACTTCATCAAATGTAAGACCACCTTTTTTGGCTTTTTTCTGTAGTTGTTTAGCAAATTCGTATGGCTTAGAACTATTATTCTCATGGATGCATGAACTAGATTCTGAAACTTCATTAGCATAATCATGTAAAGGAACTTCCTCATGTAAAGGAACTTCCTCATGTAGAGACATTTGTGTGATTTTCTTTATTAAGTTTTAATTCATTAATTATTTACAATAATATTTAAATGAAAGACAATTAATTAGACTATAATGATAGGTGCAAAAAGATTTATGTCACTGGTTATATTCTGCTGTAAAGGCATGTCAACATGTCTTTACAATAGAACTTAATCCAGTGACATAAATCTTTCTGCGCCTATTAATTGGACTTTAAAATAAAGACTAGGCTTCTTATTTACAGTGATGCCAATTATACGTTGATTATATCATTTGTCTATTACATCAGCGATGTGAAACTTTTGTGTTTTATTACAATATTAACAATACTGATGGGCTTTTATAAATATATCGCAAAATTCCTACATCTCTGCCAACGTCAGTTGCAGAAATTTCTCTAGCCCTATAAAAAATGTTGTTCCGTATTTATTATTCCATGTTTTTTCCATGAATGTTTCGTTTTCATGGAATTTATAACCTTAAATTATTGAAATTTTCATCTCCCTAACACAGATATCCGTAAATGCATCATTTTCATAGAATTTTTATGGAGGCAACGGATAAATAGTGGAAATATTCAGATAAAATTTTTTATAGGGTAATTATGTCAGTTATATTAATTACGGCAAGCATCTTAGGTTACGTCGATTATATCAGTTATGGCAAACGACAACTAATACTACTTGCGTCATTACAACACTTTTGACTTAACGACGCATCAAGTTGACGTATCCATACGTCTTCCAATTTCTGCACCTATACTATTTACCATCCCTGGTTAACTAATACTCGGAAAACATGTATATTTAATAAAATTCTAATTATCCATTACAAATAAATTGGTTTTATCCCTAGTTCTAGTTAATGCGAGATCAAATATCGTAAATTTTTTAGTGATGATTTCATGTTTTAGTCCAGGAAGAAGCATAATAGATTTCAATTTATTTATTTAAATTTATTAATTTAGTTATCTTTTAAATCTTTAGTTAAAAATTGCACATGTGGACGGCTTCACCCAGTTTCAATTAATTAGATCTTGATATATAATATTTTAAATTTACTTAGCATTCACCAGAGGTGAAATTCACTACATTATGTTTTAATTATTATTATATGTGATCTATATAAATTTTATAACTAAAATTGAATTTTAGGGTTAGGAACTAAGGCTTAAATTAAGGTAAAGGGTAGGGTTATTATGTACTGGACATTTTTACTTAATATACTGAATACTGATTATCAAAGCCGCTTTCGAGAAATAATATACCCGGTGAAATTTCATCTCAAGTGAACGTTAAAATCATCCAATTAAGTAACTTATTTTTTAGACCAAATTTTTAAATTTTCAAATGTTAAGTGAAAAACTTATATTTGAACCAAAATTTTTTAAAATTTTAATTATAGTAATTAAAAAAAAAAATTAAATACTGTTGGATCTCCCAAAACAGGTCCTGTCAAAATCGACAACCTGTCAATTTGATAATCAATTCTGTTTCTGCCATATAAATCTAAAAGTTTATAACATTTTCAAACCTGACACCTCTCAATACTGATACAACAACACCTGCACACCATATGTATCGGTTTAGGGAGGTTCGACAGTATTCCACTCTACGGTCCTTAATGTTCGCTCGTGAACATTTCTGATGATATTTTTATAATGACGTGATTCCATGAAAATATCAAAAAATTTCACGACTTCAATGTTTGACCGTGCACAATTTTTTGATATTTTTATAATCGTAGTGCCGTGAAATATCTATTACTTATTCCTCGGGAATTGAGTCATCAGTAAAATTTTAATCTGAAATATTAGGGGCATGGAATCATGAAATATTACGTATATGTTATTGCCCACTTCGTGGACAATAACTGATTTATTCCAGGTTCTTTTTATACTTCCATACTATCTTTTTCAAATTAAAGTTGAGAATTTCATAAGTTTAGCTTTCTGCCATCATAAAACTTCTTTCGTTTCCTTTAACCAACAATTTTTACTTTTTGTTAGTAACGTTAATAGTTTAAAATTTCGTATATCATTAAAAAAGTAAAAAAGGATATATAATCAAAAACAAATATAAAAACTCCGGATCTGAAATCTGGGTAATAAACATGAAAAGATAGTATGGAAGTATAAATAAGAACCGGGGAATAAATTCCATTATGTGCCATGAACATCACGTATTACCATGACTTCGCCATGCTAATTCATGATATTCGCAGCAGCCCGAGGAATATCGTTATTAAAATTAAAACCAAAATAATTTATTTGTAACCAAAATTTCTAGAAAAATTTATATTCTATTCTATATCTATTGCAGATTCACATAATAAAAAAAAAAAGAACTACAAATTGCAAATATTATGTAATGCGTATTATTCAATAAGAATGATTCGGTAAACCCGATTTATAAATTGAAAAAACCACATAAACGTCGGCATAGATTATTTAAGCCATAGCTTTCATTGGTTTTTATATACTGTAGTAATTCCGATAACATGCATATGTGCTAACATGTTATACTAATTTAGAAATTCATCTATAAATAATCTGTATGATGAGATCGAAATTCCTATTACTGTATTACAGGTTACGTAATTCAAACATGATCGTGCCGATCTTAATAAAAAAAAGATGGTAGCCGTGCTGATCTTATCGCTGTTTTCAGAATTCTGTGTCCCTACGTTCATACGTATCATACCCCTGCATTTTCGAAATTAGTGATAATGTTGGAGATGCAGGGGTATATCCTAAAAAAATAATCATATAGGGACGAAGAGTTTTGAAAACAGCGATAATGGAGGTTGGTTACCCAGTTCTTTTCGTATAACAAATAATCAATTTTTTAAAGTAATAAACGTTATACTATGGTTAGAATTATGATCGCTACAAGACTTAGCTTATGCAAAATCTTACAATGAATTTTTTTTATAAAGCGCAAAAAGTAGTTCTAAGGGCAAATTTTTGAGTTAATTTAATTTTATTGGTATTGTTTAATGTATTTGAAGAGCACTTCTTTCACAATTATACTGGGATATCTTTAACAGAATTCACCAATTAATACAGTTAGACCTCTCTAAGCGCACCCTCTATAAGTGCACACTCTCTCTATCTCTTAATCTTTTTCAATCTTACTTTCTCTGTCTCTTAATCTCTCTTAATCTCACTTACTATGTTACTTAATCTCTCTCAATCTTTTTCTTTCTGTCTTTTAATCTCTCTCAATCTCACTCTCTCTATCTCTTAATCTCTCTCAATCTCTCTCTCTCTGTCTCTTAATCTTTCTCAATCTTTTTCTCTGTCTTTTAATCTTTTTCAATCTCTCTCTTTCTGTCTCTTAACCTCTCAATCTCTCTCTACCTGTCTCTTAATCTTTCTTAATCTTTCTCTCTCTGTTTTTAATCTTTCTCAAACTTTCTCTTTTTGTCTCTTAATCTCTTTAATCTCTTACTCAAAATTTCTTGAAAACAAAATGCAAAAGATATTTTAAAAACCATTAATCAAGATTCATCTAATTTAGCTACTCAATCATTATCTACTTGATCTATAGAATATGTATAACTGTTAATTGCTATCATCAAAATATAATAGCAAATTAGTTGATTCTTATACAAAAAATTAATATTTTTTAACTACTAGCCAACAGTTACCTCAAACAGAATTCAATAAGTTAAAGCAATTAGCTCAGGTTGTTTCAGGATTAAGCAGCCTAAATCAACAATCAATAACAATAATTGATTAAAATTAGATAATAAACTTCAATCTAGTTCTGACAATAAACTTCTATCTAGTCTTGATATAGATGATTTGTCATTTTTATCAAGAAAATAATATTAAACATCAACTGCTAAAATAACAACTTTGAATCTAAAAGAACTAGTTACACCTTTGGCAGATAAAAGTAATGATAATAATATTGTGCTAGATTACAACCTAATTATAAACTTTTTCTTTGTTCAAAAAAATATTTGTCTAGATTTAATTTCAAATTAGCATTATACAATTTAAATAATACAATATTGATATGCTCTGAGTATATATCAAAATTAGATAAATAAATATTCATATCATCAATATATATCAAAGCAAATTTCTACAGTTTATTTTTAAGAATATAATCTATTAATCTATATTGCAAAGTATTTGTCAAGCCAAATGGCATTATTACAAATTCATAAAGGCTAAATTTTTTTATAAACACTGTTTTTTCTTAATCCTAGAGTTCATTTCAACTTACCAGAAGCTACTAGCAAAATCTAATATTATATACTATACTAAATTTTTAAGAGCTTCTAGAAGTTCATTTATCTAAGAAAAAGGGTAACTATTACACTTCATCCTTTTGTTCAATAAAAATCACTGCAAAAGTAAAGTTTATAATATTTTTCTTTACCAACATGACCAGTGATACTTACAAACTATTTGATGATTGTATTAATCTAGCTTCTTTTATTTATCAAATTTCTTGGCTGATGAATTCATGTTCAACTCTAGAGATGGAGTAGAATCTTTGTTTGATTGAGAGACCTTTGTTTATATAGACTTTATATTATATGATTAATATTTAACCCAACTTATACAATTTATATACAAACAGATTTTAATATTTTTTAATACTTCTAGTATTTGTTAATTTTGCTTTACCAATATTTAACCTATAGATTGAATTTTTCATATTATATAAAAAACATATAGCTAATCATTCTACTGTATTTCTTTACAGTACAATTAAAATGATTATATCTTTTTTTATATATAACCACAAATTTTATTAGACTTCTTAATTATAAAATGAAGCTTATAAAAAAATACTCTTGATTAATCAATGCTTTATTATTATTATTATTAGTATTTTTATTACTATTCTCTAAATTTTTACTATTGTCATTATTATCATTATTAGAATCAACTATTGTTTTTTTATTTTTCTTTTTTGATACTTCAATGCTAGTATTCTTATCAAGAATATTAGTGTATGGTTTTACTAGCATCTAAATCAAAGACAAAATCT